ATAGAACTTCCGGGGTTGAGCGTATAATAGTGAAAAGACCCCACGACACAAACAAAGTCATAAAAATTCTTTGTCCATTGTCCCTAAAACGGGACAAGGTTTTGAAGAATTCCTTCGTCGAATTTTGATTTTATAAAGACGTTTATAAAGTGATGATGGTTACCAAAAAAATTAGAGAGTGATTTAATATTTAGTTTTATTAAATTTATTTCATCTAATGAAAAAATAATGCTCAACTTCCGTATTTACCATACAATACATCAGATGTTTGAGGCGTGCATTCGGACTGTCCCTTTTTTCGGTATTTATGTTTATTGCACTTCACAGTGAAGCATCCCAATATTTCCAGTTGGTTCTCAACTGCCGAAACTTTCTCGTGTATCCGTTACTCACTTCATTTTTAACGCAGTTTTGTGAAAATTTCTGTACAGTGTGGGTTATACTTATTTACACTAGGTAAGTTAATATCTAATAAAGTAATCATTTTAATTTTTACATGTTTCTGTTATTTTTGATAACAGTACGTAGATAACAAAAGCAGTTTTTTTAAGAAAGACCACCATTAATCACTGAAGATACTCCCACTGATTATGAAGAACTTACGGTGATTGTTTTTGAAAATGAGGCGCCATAAAAAAAAGGTATATTACTGCAATTATTTATGTACTAATGCTAATGAACATAGTTTTATTCTAGATTTGAAACAAATACAAAACACATGTGCGAAACGAAAGAAATGCTAAAGGAAACGAGTGAAAAAATCTCCAACATGGAAACGTCATCAAATCTGACAACTGAAAAAGAAAACAAAAATAGAAGTTATGCCGCCAAGACCACACCTAAACAAATTTTGACGAATTACAAGATTATCTTTGCCTATTAGAATAAGCAGATTTCTTTGTAAGTTAAAAAAATACAATGAATTCATATATACATATAACATAATTGTTCCGGCTCGAGGGACCAATGTTCCGGCTTGAAGTGCCAATGTTTCGTACAATCCGAATCGTAGTACCAACGTTTTTTGTAATCCGGTTCATACGACCATGTATGGTTTTCCGAATTGTACCTTGATATTGCTCGAAGGACCTTTGTTTGTTATAATTGAAATAATGGACAGCGTTCGGTTTTGATGTTTAATATAGGACGGTTACAGAAGTACTACTGTTACAGTGCTATTTACAAAAACAGGTAAAGATACCCAAAAGGGTCAGTGGCCGCTTCCGGAAATGCAACACATAATATTGGATATTATATACAGGTAGATGCCTGTAATAGGTACTATGATATTTTTGATAACTTACTATACATTGCACATTTCGCTTCATTGTAAAAAGTATTGACAACGAGATTTTCCTGATAGGCTATATATATATACGTTTTTGTCAATGCAACCATTTTACGATTATCCGTTAGATTCCAGTAAATTTAGCATTTTTAAAATGCAGAATTTGTCTTCTGCTTAAGCTGTAATCCCTTAAATTTAATAATTTGGCTATTATTGCCCATAGACGAAAAAATAATTGCATTTCCATTAATCCACGCACTCTAATGGGTTTTTCTTTTCAGTGCAATAAATTAAGGCAAACTTAAAAAAGTTAGGTTATTAATATGATTGTTAAAACATAATTAATTCTTAACGGTACTTTTTTGTGTGTTGAGGACAGTCAAGTCGTCGTGAATTAGAAAGTTTTACAGTGTATTTTCAAAGCAAGTAACTTCAACAATGCGATTCAACTGTCTTTTCCCTTTATTCTAATTTTTTTTTTATATATATTTTTTGTAAATAGATTTGTTTGTGTTTTTAAGACTGATTTATAATTTATTATAGTTTTCTTATAATATTCTTTGTAACTAAATAGATTTCTTTGTGTTTTTAAAACATATTTTATTGCAACGTTTATTTTTGATTATATATTGTATATTATCCTTTTTTTTGTTTATAGTAATTTGACTCGTAATTACCTGTATGTAGATTTGTTTGTGTTCTTAAAAGTAGTTTATCATTAATTTGTTTAATTGACATATATTTTTTTATTTGTTTATTGAAGTTGTCAGTGTTGGTTGTACAGAATTGTAGTAAATTTAATTTTTTTACACTAATTTGTTTTAACTTTAATTAATACATATTTTGTTTTGGGGTTTACCTGGTGATTATAACGAATTATAATATTTTATTTAAGGTAAATAACATAAAAATATAAAAGTATTTCAGCGTTTTATTTATTGCATATTTTTTTCTAAAAATCAAAATATAAAAAACGTCTTAAAATGGACAATAAATGCCGTCTATAAGACGTCAGTACATCACGTCAATAGTTCGTTACAAAATGACGACTCTAAGACGTCAGTACATCACGTCAATAGTTCGTCAGAAAATGACGTCATCTGGACGAGACATTTGACCGTCATTGGTACGTCAATATCACGTGAAATCTTTGGTCACTATGACGTAATTGATGACCATTTATTCACGTGAAAAAGACGACATCATGTTGCCTGGGTATGTGGACGCATTTATTACGTATTTTATCTTTTTCTAATTCAAGGAACTTTGTGGAAGAGAATAACTGACGTAGAGCGTAATTTGGCCTAATTTCGGTAGACATACTATTTGTCTGGCTCTTCGTTTTTGTAATCCTTAAAACAAAGATTCTTATGGTAGGTGCTGTCTGAGCTTGTATGATACTTCGGTCACGTGTGTCAAAAGATACATGAATTCAACTATATCACAGGCAAATACACTATTGTCACAGAAAACACTCGCAAAATTAGTCGTAAAAGCGTTGACAATATCTTGCGAAGTTGACACAAAGGTCAATTCTGCTGGTATGATAGGCGATTTTCGTTTGGCTTTTACAGAGGACCACAACTTTTTAGCATCATGTTTGATTGAGTTTTTCGCCGTTTTCAACAAATCTTATATTATTCTATGTGGCTTTACATTCTTATTTCCTTCCTAAGAATTTTGACTCTGTCTAAATGAAGTAAACTTTTCGTTTTACGGTATATATTCCACATAACCGTTCGAATGAATGAAGAAGTACATGTTTTGGGTATGTCAATGAATAGCATAAAAAGAGACGGACTGCGGATAACGAAGAAAGAAGAGTTTTTTTGTGAGCCGTGTCAGCTGGGCAAAGCGCATCGGGTAGAACATATTTGTATTGCGATGGTTATCCTCATGTGCCAAAACAACTTCGAAATAAACCGGATGCCAAAGCCAAGAAAACAATCTTTGTCGGGTATCAAGGAGACTCTTCAAACTATCGGCTTTATGATCCAGAAAAGCGAGCAGTGTTTGTGTCACGAGATGTCATGTTCAATGAGAGCAATCAAGACAGTACGTTACTACCAATTGTAGATGAAAATGCGAACATGGAATTTAAGATTCATACAATACAACAACCACCTATCCATGAAGTAGACAGTGATGATGATGAGGCAGAAGTTAACATCGAACAGCAGCTATCCAGGGACAGGAAAGATGAAGAAGTACATCAGTCAATTCAAGTTGAGGGAAGGTGTCTACGAGACTGTACTACTCTTCGAAAACCAGCAAGGTATGAATTTGATTTTATACGATGCTCCAAGTTGTTACAGGGATGCAGTCTCTTGTCTTGTACGAAAGCACTTGAAGATAACTATTGATGAGGCGCTTAAAGCTCATGAAGATCATCACACTTGTTGTTCCGAGGTGGAAAAATCAAAATCCTATCGATTCAAATTGGGTATTCAAAATTGTGTGGGAGACGACAAGGAAAATTCGTAGGTTCAAGGCACGACTAGACGGCTAGAAATTTTAGGCACCAATATGGGATCAAATACACGGAAACATTTTCGCCGGTCATACGCTATGACTCTCTTCGTGTATTTCTTGCAACTGTGGCCCATGAAGACCTTGAAATGACACAGTCTGATGTTTGAACAGCCTTTTTACATGGAAAGCTCAAAAAAGAGATTTTTATGGAACCGCCAAAAGGGCTGGAAATCGATCTTTCACTAGTCTGCAAATTAAAGAAATCATTGTACGGGCTGAAGCAAGCAAACCAAAGGTTTATTAACTTTCTTAAGGACTTTAGTTTTATAGAAAGTGATGCGGATCCTTGTGTGTTTCGTGGAACTATTGACAATGAAAGTGCTCTACTCGCATTATTTGTTGATGATGGACCTATTGTGTCGAAGTCAAGTCCAATTTTGTGTAAAAGTCTTAAGTCAATGAAACAGACTTTTGACATTACTATTGGCAATCAACCTTGTTTAGTAGGTGTAGAAATTAAACGTGACAACATTAAAAAGAAAATGTTTATACAGCAGTATGCTTACACATGTAAAATTATTGATAAATTTGAATGAACGATGCTAAAGGTCTGACTGTTCCTGCCGATCCACACTACACTTTGTTAGTAGATAATGAAACATGAGTATCACAAAGGCAAAAAGTTGTTGCCTTAAGTACAACCGAATCTGAATATGTAGCCGCCATGACAGCAACAAAAGAGGCAATCTGACTGAAAAACCTAATCCGTGATGTGAGGTACTGTTCTGAATTTAATGTATTAAATTCAACTAGTAACCAAAGTACAATTCTATTAGCTAAAAATCCTGAGTATCACAAACGTACTAAACATATCGATGTTAGGCATCATTTTTTGCGAGAAAAAGTTTTCGAAGAAGAAACTGAAATTGTATATGTTCCCACAGAAGAACAATATCAGATATGTTCACCAAAGCGTTAACTAAGGATAGATTCACTTATTTGCGTTCAAAACTTAGCGTGGTTAATAAATAAATTGTTGCAGGCACTAAAACAGCGGGAGTGTTGAGAATGTTTAGCGCGCTTGCTAATAGAATGTAAGACTGCGTATGGCATGTTATGTTCTGTGTTTTACGAATAAAGCTCAAGTTTTGTTTTCTGTAATTACTGTTTCAAGAACTTAATCTCCATCTTAACCCACAATTGAAACAAGAATAACATAAAATATTCAGTAAATACTTACTATGATTGTTAACATCCCAATGGCCAGCAAGATAACCACATACTTCCGACTTTGTTAAATGACAATGAAAATCCATTAACAATGCCGCATTTGTAGACAGCGATACCAAAAATGGTTGAATTTTCCCCAAATTCGAAAATGGAATGCACTCAACTAATGTATTGGCATCACTGAAACAGAAATGAATCATAATATTTCCGTCATATATTATTAGTAATACACTTTAAAAAATTGGTCCAAAGAGTTTAGACAGTACTTCCCTCGCTGTCGGAAACATGACGACTGCAAGCCTATTATGTTTTTTTTTCGCATTAAATTTCAAAGCATTCGGTTTTATTGTTCTTGATTAAATCAATAAAATAAATTTGCGCATTCATTAAATTTTTTGAGTCACCCTGTATATCCAAATCTAAAAAATATGAATCGAATGATAAATTACAAGAAGAGACTCATCATATTTTGTACATTTTAGATAGGATTATTCGGCAAACCTTTGAGCTGACGTCATCAATTTTTTGGAGGGGATAAGCAAATATATTATATTTTTACTAAAAATTTATTATGCTCTTTATAACCTTAAAACATTTGCAAGATTTCAAAGCATTTGGTTCTGTAGTTTCTGATTAAATCAATGAAATAAATTTACCCATTCATTAATTTTTTGGGTCACCCCGTATATGCATATCCAAAAAATATGAATGGATTGATAAATCACAAGAAGAGACTCATCATATTTTGTACATTTTAGATAGGATTTATTCAGCAAAATTTTAGGGTGACGTCCTCAATTTTTTGGAGGGGATAACTAAATATACTGTGATTAAAATTGTATCATGCTTATCATAACTGTAAACTATCTGCAAGATTTCAAAGCATTTGGTTTTGTAGATTTCAAATTAAATATCAAAATATTGTCTCCTAATTTTGATTTTTTTTCCAAAAATCTGGACGTTTCGGGTAAAATCTCAATTCGGAGTCATAAACTACATGTGTAAGACTATGTTATTTGATACAAATTAAAACCCAAATACTATGTACAATTTTGAAGTGACGTCATCACATTAGTGGTGGGGATGATCAGACAAATTTTGGTTGGCGTTTTACCATCTACATGTTATACCTAATATAAATACAAAATTTGATAACAATCGGTCCACTACTTTCGGAGATTATCTGTCTAATAAAAATCCAGGACGGCAGACAGACGGAAAGGGGAGACCTATTTTTTCGTCTTCTAGGGGTCATGAAAGATCGAGAAAGTGCAAAAGTAGAGAGTCGGCCAACGGACTCGATTACAATACTTGCTTGCTTACGCTCGGGAAGTAAAAATGTTGAAAGTTTCATTAAAAACGGTGTTCTTTTGGGTTTAGTAATCGTACTATTCTTTGCAAGAAACATGTCATATTTGCAGTTGTAATAGTACATTACATACCGAGGTGGAAAGTTTTTCATCCCTTTCGAGAGTAAAGACTATTTCGCGAGAAAGGAACGAAATTTTTCTAAGGTCTGCATGCTACATATTTATTCACAACAGTTTTAAGTTGTTTTTAAACAAAAATTTCCTAATTTAAATTAAGTAACCCACCAAGCATTGAAAAATTCGAAAATTCACATTTATAACTACACAAGGATTACAACTTTTTGTGTTTTAGTTTTGAAACTCACATATACATATTACTTTCCAATCATGAAAGTGAAGTAGGGAATTAGCTCATATTCGAATTTTTTAAACTGTTTTAATAGAAAGTTAATAATACATCACTGTGCTCGAATTGGCGAGTTTTTTTCTTGCAACAAACTGGGCGTCCGGGGGCGCTAATCGTTAAAGCTTAGCTTGGGTTTTCGAGAAATTTCATTTTAAAAATTTCAGGACCAAAAACTCCCAAAGAAAGATAGTTTTATTATTTTTTGACCATTTATTCAATTTAAATCCATAGAAATCGATCGACTAGACATATACATCGACTACAAAATATTGCAAAAAAATTGAATCGATTCAGTCGATTTTTGATCTTTTTCTTTGCAAAAAAAAAACTTTTTTTTGTACCTTCTATACCAATATTCAAACCTCACCGTCGTCACTTGATGAAAACGCTTGCCATGATCATCGCATTGATTTAATGATTGTTCGGAGAATTGTTGTACAAAACATGAATTTTTAATTATTTTTGAATATTTAAACTGTGAAAAACAGTGCTTCAATTAGTTGCGTCAATTTTTGGATCGATGTATTCTGCTAACATTTGTTAATAACCGCTTTCACACAATCCCATGCTGCAAGCTCCATGTTAATGAGTGCGTTTTCAAATCGTTCGTCCCTCATCAACGATCAATATTTCAACATTCAGATTCAGACATCCACCTTCATTTCTTTTCATCCCACTTAACCGTGAAAAATAACGACACAAATCGTTGACTGCATTTCCTTCTTGGTTCAATACTGTTATGCAATTTTTAAGAATTCCTAGTTTGATGTGGAATGGTGTAACAAAACCTTTTTGATTGGCACCAGTAGAATCTCAGTGATGTTTTTGTCACAATATAAACTCCTCACGTAAAAGCCAGTTCCGTTGCGCCATGCAACAATTTGAAAAGATACTAGCCGATAAATGAAGGCTATTTACTCGACAAATGCATCGCTCAATAATAGCGTTAAAGTGATTTGGGGAAATATTATGAAATAAAAAGCAATTCCCCATATTAAATCCCTACGTTTAAACTTGGATGCGGCACTCCGTACATATTTGATAGCATGGAATCCAAATCATCCTATTTACTTACCGCAAATACCTAGTATAGTCCGGTCAAAATAGACATTAAAATAGTGATCAAATAACAAAAACTCAGACAGAGTCATGTCTTCTTCTTCCTCTTCTTCTTGTTGGATGTTCATAAATTGTTCAATTGGAGATGAATCAGCTGTCTTTTCATTGATATCACATGAATCTTCGTCTATTGGATTCAATTGAACATTCGAGCAAGACTGGCCTTGGCAATTAGTGCATGCTGGTGAACACAACAACCTTACTCTTCTACAGCCACATTTAGTACAACAACGATTTTTTTAAAACGCATCGAAAAACTGTTAGAAAATTCCGAAAAAGTTTCCGTATCATTTTCTCCACTAGAAATTTTTTGTACCCAAAATTGTAAATATTAAAATTTTTGGGATTAGTATACATATTTTTTTGCCCGAAATTATCACGATTTTTTAAAATACATATCATGTTATTTTATTTATTGTATCATTTTATATTATTTATATTTATTTATTTTAAAATATCATTATTTTTCCTTGTGCCGATTTCTTCAAGGTCTGTCGAAAAAAGTCCAGATTCAAAATTGCAGAACATTTTCTATAGAACAATTATTCCACTTTTGATAATTTCAAAATTTTGAAAATTATGTTGTCGGATGGTTCTCATTTTTAAAAATTTATTTCGCAAACAAGAAGCTTTTCCGCTTTATTAATGATATTTTAACCAATCTAAAAATTTCTGAATATACATATACTCGTACTTATGTTTTTCCGTTGTTCTCTTCTCGTTTATTTTTCTTTCCTTACTTTTCACAAGAAAAAAGCGTCTTCTGTGGATTACATTTTTTTGTATCAAAGTATTTTGAAAATGTTTTCAAAATTTCGATTTTTTTTTAAGTTGTCTTTCGCCATTGTTCCATTTATTGAAAATTTATTAAAAGAAACTTTCAACTTTTAGAACAGCGATATCTTAGGAATGGTGATTCTTAGGAAAAAAAGTATAGGGATCATTTTTGTAGATAATTTTATGATCTACAACTTTTGTCTGGCGTATATTTTTGATAAAACTTACCGTTTTCGAGAAAAATAAAAAAAAAGACCTTTAGCACTACCAAAATTCAGCTCTGTTGGAGTTTTTGTTATTTAAAATGTCTATTTTGACGGGACTAGTATACCACCATATTACTCTTGGTGATATTAGTACGTTGTTATATTATCAGTTATAATATAACAAGTGATATGATTATAATTGATAATATTTCGAATGAAACCGAGCTGCAGATTCAACGAGTGCGAAGCACGAGTTGAAAGTGCTGCTTCAGTTGCACGAACCATATCTTCGATTATTATTAATGATATCACGAGTTATATTCGATATGAGAATATAACGAATGAACTAATTTTTTGATAATAGAATTGATTTCGTCGTTTTGAGCTTGCCCCCAACGTTGGCAAGCCATAATACACAAACAAATTTATAAAATTCTAAAATTTGTCGATTTGACAGTTTTTAAATTTAGGTACCAACAGACCACAATAAGGTAATCAAATTATTATCGCTGTGATAGACATGTAACTAAGGGCAAGAATAAATTCTTTTGGAAGAAATGGGGTCACGTGATACATGAATTATATTCTCCCTGCTATGACGGTGGTTATCCAATATGTCAAAATTGTGTCAAACAGTCAGACATTCAAGCAGCATTACAGATTCGTTTCCCTCCCGAAGTAAGCGCCACCATATGTCAATTTTAAGGTATAGAAGAGACTTTAATAGCGAAATAACGAGGACCGTACTTGACACTATTTGACATAATATGACATTTCGGATAACCACCAATAATGTAACGATGTAGTAATGTCATCGATCGTAATGTGGCAGTCGTCGACTTCGTTGATTACAGTCTCTCAAATTGGTTGCAATCGTCCGAGTTGTCAAAAGAGAAAATATCAAAAGATTTCACTGCCTTGGGGAGTTACATCAACCTGTAATCCCTTTTTTCACTGTGCTAAAGCAAAGTTTGATGTGTCCATGGAGGTAGTAGGTAGAGGAGGAAAGATAGTTTGAAAAAGCGCCTGATACCGCGCTTTCGAATGGGATCATAAATGGCTCTTCCAGCTCCTCCGAGAACTGGTTGTTTCAGTGGCGTACTCGAAAGCGCTTGTCAAGAGGCTGGATACACGATACAAAAATTAACATGTTGCAAGTTAAAGGCTTTAATTAAGTGCATATATATTTAATCGATGTTAGCGGTAAGGGTCACGAATAGGTAAAGGTCACATTCTGTTACTATTTGCTAGCTGTGAACACATTTATAACCAAAATCACGATACACTTTCACCGGTATGTTACGTTCTGAACCAAATTTGACAGACTTAGCGCATGTGACGTCACTTCGATGCAGCTCGACC